ACAGAATTTCCAAATAATAAAACATAACATAAATGAAAGACAATAATAAAGACCACAAATTGTATTCAATGTTTAAGAATTCGTCTGAACATAAAATATATAATACCCAACATAAGAAAAAAATAGTTAACATGAGGAAACCGAAAGACTTGTCACAAACGAATTAGTAAGGGATAAGATCCTTCTAAAATCTTTAATTATACTGTACTCAACAGTAAGATTATAATTAAACAGTTAAAGGGTTACTTTAAGTTTACCTATGTTAGGGGGCGGTAAGTTTGGTATACTGAGTACGTCTTGGGTCATTAAAAAGCATACTTCAAACATATAAAAACTGATACGCAGCGAGATAAAGGGAAAAATCACGCTTCATATGTCAAAACAATTGAAGAATTTCTTTCTTGTTAATAGAATAGAATTTATATCTATTTAGCCTGAAGAAACGCATTTTTCTTACTAATACCCTGTATTACACATATTTTAAATATTTTTTGGGAGTTTCTGCCATTGTTATTTTAAGGGAAAAATTAGAAATAATAAGTTCAGTTTTAATCGATTTGTCTTCTACTTGATTAGTATTTTTTCCGAAATGATTTAAATAAATATTAGTTATTAGTTAGATTCTGATGGTTAGTGAAACAAGTTATTCCTTTCCGCCGTTGTATGAATTACTAAATAATATCCTTATCTACATTTTTCTTTTCTCTTCATCAGTTATTCTAATGAAAAGTTTTTCTTCGGCTGGTATTCTTTTTGATGTACAATATACACCTATTCCTTCCCTTTCAGTTAAAATTAAAGACTATAAAGTAAATTCAATAATTAGACGCATTCATATTTTTGTAACTCGTGTAATTTAATTTGAAAATTCTTTCCTAGAAGTATTTGTTATTCATCTTTGTGTCATTGAATAAAATTTTATCTAACAAAAGCGAAAGTATTATAAAAGTCTAAGCGTCGACATCTGCAGCTGAAAATGAAAACATCAATCGTCCGGCAAATAGGAAAAATAAACTCTGAACAACGACTTATTTAAACAATGGACTTAATGGTCAATGGGTCAGCAAATATATCGACTTCTGGTTACGTGGTAATCCGACAGGACAAAAAAGGATAAAACAGGCAACTTGTTACAGGTAAATAAAGTGTAAGGTCTGTATGCGAACGGGTGGCAATTTTGTATGAAAGAGACACCTTGGTCGTTTGTAGTACAAACAAGGATTTCTTAAAAGCTTGATCAGGGCAAATCTTTACAAAAGCCGAGTAAATGTTGTCGTTTATCTCGAATTAAAGCCTCTTTGACCAGTCTTTTTAGTGTCGTTTGTAACCTCAAACACCATTGGCAAACATAATTGATTTGAAGTTTCTGAACACACTTTTGTTAATGAAGTGGTCGATTGTACAGGCATCCTACTGGTTAAGATATTAACTTCATCAATGCGTGGAATGAACTCTCTACACACGGGTAATAAACACATCAATCTACTCTAATTAGCTACTTTGATAAACGAATCCGATATTCTAAATCTTAGGCTAACATCTGTTTCGAATAACAAATATTAGTTATATTTGGTCAATTCTTCTACTTATGAATGTAAAATGAAAGTTTGATCATTTTAAAATTCAATACTATCATTAAAAATATATTCATTGCAAATTTTTGGTCAAACATATTCTCTCTTAATCGATATTTTTTTGTAAAATTTATCAAGGTACCCGTTGATTTAATACCATTCTTTTGTTAAAACGTATTCCAATATATCACAGTTAAATCGTAATATTTGTGTTTAATACGTTATCCGCTTGCTTGAAAGGATAGTAATTAATAGCTGGGCTAGTCATATTGATATATCGGGCACTAAACCTTCGATGCTCTGTTTCACTCTCTTAAAGCAAGGCTGTGTGAATTACCAACGTCACTCGCATGTGGAAAATATAAGACAATAAATTAGCGAACAATTAAGATTAATTTGTCATTTATCCCGTTACCAGCTAATCTAGTACCACGAGTCCCTTTAGCTGATGCTTGAGAGCCCCTACAAGAAGATGACTACATGGCCTTCCGTCTCAGAATCAGCCACATTGATTGACATTCTGGATGATACGCAATCCACAGTATGGTCAACATCATCAAATAGTTAGGAAAATTATTAATCAAAATTAAAATATTGAAAGAAAATACGAACACAGACGATGTTTTCATCAATACGAAAATAGCATAACATGTATTAAAAGAAATTTACAAAAATGATATTTATGAAAAGAACCAAGAGTTTTAATGACAGTAGAAATATAGAATACAAAGCTGACTTCATTGGGGGTGAACAGACTATGAATTTGATGTTTATGGAAGTGAGACCTTATCCCAACAACAATCATTTCCGGAAGAATGTTCACGGAGTCGGCTTCAGGGGCTAGACTCCTGACTATTATCCACAGCACAGCAATTTCCCTTCATTTGGGTACAAGTAATTAGTGTAACAATAAATGATATCAAGGGGCCATTAGTTTCAGGAAATACGACGAGAAAGTTGTTGGCCTCTTGATTCAAACCGTTGTTAATGGATTTCGTTATATGGGGATAATAATACTAGCAGTACTTCTTATATTCTTAAACACATCAATTTGTTATACCGATTGGAGAGACGTGATCAATTACACAGATTGGCCTCGCCTATAGCCGATTGCCAGTTTTATTATTCCACAAGTCAGATTCCGGAGAAATTCTATTATTATAAGTAATGAAGATGTTTCAATGGCGAAATTGATGAAGCTTATGGAAACATCTGATGTAAAACATCACAAAGGATATCACGAACAAATGAATGCAACTAATATGGTCATAACTTTAAGATACTGCTTCACGGATAGTCTTTGTACAAGATTATCTTAAATCAATGGTCAAATATGTATTTAGAAAATAGAGTTCCAGAAACATATTATGTTAGTTTTTATTTTTCTTTGCGAGAGATTTTTTCCCTGGGTCATTAGCACAACTTAGGGTGTTTAGAATATAACTTTATTTTATTTTATCTCTGTATTTTAATCTGTTTAATGCATCCATTCACGCATTAAGACATTAAAACATGGTAAATCGAGATAAGTGTTTTGTATTTATAAAGCAGGTAAACTTTTAGATAAAAATATCAATTTCCCTTAGGCGATGGAATCTAGGTGAGACTCTTAATGTTTTGTCACTTTCTTCTAGTACTTTGTTTAGCGACAATATGTACCCATCATGATAATGACCAGCCGATGGTGTATAAGTGTCGAAATACTCCCCAGGCTATAAATCAGTCACACAGATCATTTGATGGATTGTTGGTGGACACTGACGAACCAATATGTTCTTTACAAGTCTTTATATCCTTCCGTCATCTGTCAGGTTTATTCGTTTAGCAATAATTTCTGTATCCTCTGTAGTTCTAAGCAAGGGCATATACACAACAAATAGAAAATAGATCCTATGCATGCACCAAAATGATTGATATATTGACGCTATAATTATTTTTTCCGATGAATGATTGAATTCATGGAATATTTGATTAGCTTTTGTCTTATCGATGTGGCCTGTCTGTCTCGGCATCAACACAATGTCAATAAATTGTACATTTATTAATTTCCCTTTAGTTAGTGTTGTCCTCATAAAAAAGCGAGACATACACCATTTACATGTGTCATAGGATAGTCTTTTGGTTTATGGTCGGTTATAACCGGGTTTTATCAACCATTGCTGTAATACGTTAATAAATACCTCACATTCTATAGTTTTACAGTCATCACAACAAAAGTGATTTATAGTGAGTACTAATGTATATCGACAGAAGAAATGTATAATATCGATTTTACTTGTGTCGAGAAGTGTCAATCGACCTATAAGTGCATGGTGCATATTTTATTACATATATATTATATTATTTGTGTATTATAATAATAGTAGTATAAGCATCAAACGCATTAACTTCAACTTGTATGATTTATAAATATATCACTTTTAAAAAACATTTTCATTGGTTTTCGGTAATACTTTCTAGATATTAGATATTATTTGCTGCACTTAATTTTTTAACTTAGGAAAATAATACTTCATTGTAGTGAAATATTTTGAAAATAAAAATAAAAATCACTTGCCATATAAAGGTACTCCTGTGAGATTACAGAAACAAAAGAATCAGTAAAATTACTTATGAAATAATTATCACAAATAAAAAAGTTCTGACTCTGTAAAATAATACGTCTCTTATATCAAGTACACAAACTATTACTATTATCCATCAGTTATCAACATTTTTATATAACCAGCAAAGCATTGTAAAGGACTCTTTGGAGTGAAGCCGCGAGAAATTTGCGTGTTTTAAGTGATTATCATTTACTATTTTCGGATTAATGTTTTAATCCATCTTTTTATTTATGAATTATTATTGTTTCTATTTTCAAATATTGTTGTAAAAATGATATCAGATTTTCATCTATCTATTAAATGTCGGTTGAATAATATTACCACTTATCTGTTTCTATAGATGTTTGATGCGTTATATAAGGGGTATAACACTATATTATCTTAATTTTCACATTTAGGCATAAACCTCAAAATATTTCGAAATAATATATATGATAAATATTTAGTAATGACAAACAAGGGTATGAGATTTATGTATGCGTGTGTGTCTAAGGATCATTCAGTGCTAAATATTCGAACCCTTCGAACGAACTGTGATGAAAAGACTATATGAAAGTATGAAATGGCAAATCAAACTTGTGTTTAAGAAAGTGTATGTGTCTGTGTATTTAATCTACTTCACTGAGTGCATTTCGTTTCAGATCTATTAAAGATTTAAAATCATTAGATTTCGATATTTTCACTAAAGATCGACCAACGCACACGGCGTAGAATGTTTCAAAAAACAATTTACCATTCAGTTTCAAAGTTGTGAAGTCCATACAATTGATATACTATAAACGATGCCGTGTTGAATTTGAACTACGTTTTGAATACTAACCTGCACTCTAGATTCAACTAGATCCAAGCGTAACGCTAAAGCTTCTCTCATGAACACGTCGGGGTAGTGACTGTCTTGAAATGCTCGTTCAAGTTCTTCGAGTTGCCATCCGGTAAAATTAGTTCTTGTACGGCGCCGTTTTGCTGATGGACTTTCTCGATCCTCGTCATGCTTTTCTGTTATTAAAAAGAATACAAAATATACTCAAGTGTCAACAGTGCGGTATTAATAAGGAAAGACAATGTGTAGAAAGTAAAAAAAGGAAAATCATGATGTTTTTTCCATAAGAGAAATCCCGAAGAAAACGTCACACTAGATAAAAATGATTAAATTGATTCAGGACATTGATTTTGTGAGAAATATCTATGTTCACCATCTTTACTTCTTATTTAAGTAGATCGAGTAGGATAGGGATATGCATAAACTACAGTCATGATGTTGCGATACAAACATAATTGATGTATAACGTTTGTATATCATTCAAAGATATTTTTAACATTGAGAACGAAATTATTTCAACGCCGTGTTACATAATGAACAATTAATAGTTCAATATATAGTCATTATACAGGTAATAAATCCCTCATCTTGTACAGGATTTTGAGATTTTTCTCAGATTTTCCTCACATTTCCTTATATAATTCATACTTAAAGTTTCTAATTATCAAGTGTTTTGCAGCTTATTCATTTTATTTAAATCTTTATTGGCCTTGAATATTTATATCCTGAAAAAATAATTATTGTTAATTCATATAGATAAAAATATTAATAATATAATACAATTATGTTGTTTTCTTATACATGAGTACATATAGACTGTGTCGTTAAAATAATAATTTCCTTTCTTTATAGTTATACGTAATAAAGATAGAGGCCAGATAAAATCAGATTAGCAATTTTCCTATTTAGTAAATAACTTTGTAACTTAAATCTCTCAAACTTGCCTCGTTTACAATTATTCAATCATATCTAATCTATTTTCAAATAAGCAGTGCGATTATACAAGTATCCGTTAGGTGTTTATTTACCTACCTTATACGTTACCGAAAATATTTAAGCTTATAATACATCTATATATCTCCTAAGGGACATTTAGATTTTTAACAACATTCAATACCTTTAATAACTTAAATGATGTCTGGGACATAGCATAATTGACGGCATGAATGACGGCTAATCAAATGAATTGCTCTGTGTGAAAAAAATGTTAAAAACTGGTGAATTCACCTATTATAAATAATTAACCTGGCTGTTCTTAAGTTGAAAGAGCATGAATAATGAAAAAGAATTCATGAAGTAGCTATAGTTAAAACTAACATATGTCTTTCACAACCGTCATGAAATCATATTTATTGAATCATTCATAGGTTTTTAATTTTGTCGACATGTACTGATTGGTTGATAATTATTGAAAAAAGTTATTTATTTCTCTCTTAGAATAATTGAGACATTTCATTTACTATATATAGCCTTATAAAGAACATTAGAATAAACTCATACAAATGTTTTCATAACATAAAACTATTACTGTAAAGAATCATTATAAATCGTTTTCAGGCAAAAAATAGGATAAACAACGATTGCCAAATTCAATATCTATGATATTCTATTTAACTCTTACCTGGAGATTTTAAGACGTTTTTTTCAGATGATCCAGATAACGTATTATGTCTAGGAGAAGTTGAGGAAGGTGACAGCATGCCATCCATAGAGAAATTAACACGTGAATTTGAATGTCCATTATAATCAAAATGATACTGATTCCCAGCTGAATGAAGTCCAAGAGATGCAAACGGTCCACCTAAATGTGCATAACCAGATAAAGTAGACAGAATCCCGTATCCATGAGGATACCTCGCATCTATTAGGCTAAGAGGTCCAGTCATGATTCTTCGCCTGTTTACCTGTGTGTTTTCACTGTATGTCAACATACCGTGAGCGCTTGTGTTGTATTGATACCGCTTGGTGTCCTATCTCTCATTAGATATACGCGAAGTGTCGGCTATGACAGTCACTCGACCAATCAGACGCGAGCTAAACGGTGTCGACAAAGGGGGAGGGAAAGTCTCTCTCTCTCTGTTATGCATACCACGGCAAAATGTCCCCAAGCGGGCCAAGACAGTGTCTAAAGTATTAAACGAGAGCAAATTGTCTCGGTTTGATTGATGCCTAGATCACCAAGTCTGTTTGGCTAGCGTATGCTTCATTTCATCTAGGTACAGTGTAATACAAAAAAACCACTAGATAGAACTAATAATCACGGGTGAGATTTTAACTGTTTGATTACAAGATATATAGTAAAATATCATTTGCAATTTAAAAATGCTGTAAAAGATTTTTTTTCTAGCACTGAACATCATGGCACATTAATTATGGATATAAAACAAATACCATTATTCCTTGTTATGAGTATTTTATGGACGAAGTAATAATCTATATGTTGTGGTCATTTTTATTGCTTGGTATGTTTTTAATAGCCTTCAATACATATTTTATATAACTTGCAATCGTATATTTACGCATAGACCTCGATATTTCAATATGACTACAACACAGGTACCAAACTACAGGTAGGCCTTCGACCCGGCAGGCAATAGGGCATATCTAAAATACTTTGGATAAAATCTACTATAATGGCTGTATATAGGTACTCCTGGCTAGTTTCACTTGACACTTGTTCACATGGTTTCAATCAGAAAGGCTTTAATTTGACACCTGTTTACAGAAAATGAAATAGATTATATATCTGGAACTTGTGTTATAACAATGTACATCTATAATTGTGTCTTAGATGGAATCAGCCTGCCAACTTTCCAAGTAATTGTTGCTAAAGTGTCAATATCCTTGTCAACAAAATGATGTAAAAGTTGATAATATAATCAGTGAACTTCGGTATTGCACATGGAAAATTATATCATCGGTACAACTTAATATATACTTCAGCACGATAGAAAATAATTTCAGTTAAACTTAACATGAAATACTATTTTCCTCTCTGGGACAAATATGAGACATTATTCAATAGCATTTAAGCAAAATGTGACCTATAGAAATGCAAAACAGTTGAGAAATACTCAATAAATCAATTTATTTGATGAATCATATGCATTCTTAATTGTCATTTTTTAATTTCGATTTTCTAAATAACTATTTTTGCATTTGTAAAAACAGCACTTCCAACATATGTCCACACTTCTTATAAAAATTGAATACTGAGATGTGCATGTATTTACCTTTAACACAATATTAAATATTGAAACTAGCTAGCTTGTAACACACAAACTGATTGTCTTCTTAATGAACAAAAATAGCTTCTTCATGTTACACTGGTTCTCTTCCCAAATGAAATTTGCATTGGCGTGTTGTTGTGAAAGCATCAATACAAATTCATAATTAAACAATGAGTTTTATACGTAATTAGTATAACAATAGTTAAACAAATAGAAAGTCAAAAAGAAAATAAAAGGTTAATTCACAAACAGTGTTATCGGCTTATTAGATTTTCTCTTCTCAATGTAAATATTCCATATTCCGCTAGTATTCAAATTGTACAATTTAATAAATAATCAACAATCTATCATTTCCAAGGCATTCATTATAAAACCGATATCACTGTGTTCTGCATATGGATATATTTTATGTTTTCTTACAATATAAAGTATGTACTTTTATCAGACTTTTTTAATAACAATTTTACTCTTTATCGACACGATATTACAAATTAGAAATTGTGTCGTTTTTAAAGAGTATTCCATGAACTATTTTTTTCCAAAACTTACAATATAAATATGAAAATCTATATCAGCAAAGAGAAACAGGATGAAATAATGAAAAAAATCAAACAAACAAAAAACAAACAAAAAACTGTATTTTTATAACATTGTGTAATTAAAGAATATTTTGAACGTTGTTTTTTTCATATAAAAATTTTTTAAAAATCATGTCAACAATGATTAATGATATAAACAGCATTTCAATATCTTCATATTTAATATGATCGTAACAAGGTATACGAACAAAGAGTCAGCAACATAACCGAAAAAGACCATTAAACAAATAAGATTAAATTATATCAGTCACATATTGTTGCCTTCGAAATTACTATATATTTGCTGAATTGGCTACAAAAGTATCTTGAAAAAAGCATTTGTCTCATATGATGACAATACTTTGCGAATGAATTTGTGGAATTCGCAAACAATTAACAACCGTGGGTAAATACATGTAAAATAATATGTCAACAACAAACAAAACTATAATGATCAATTAATTGTTTTACCCGCCCATTCATTCATTAATTATTTCAATACAAATGAATACTGCTACGCCTAAATAGGGCTAATTACTACTTATCAATCTTATCAAATTTCAGAATACAATTAGATAAACAATGATATTAAGTGTAATCTGACAAGGATTGAGTTAGAAGACATCATTCACCAAAACTACCATAAATGGTGAATTTGATAAAACGCCATATCTATACTGACTTTGACATAACGATACCCTTCTAACGCACGACCGAAACGTCATCATCATTCTTCAGTCTCAGGTTTATTAGCTTAAGAATACACGTTGTTAAAATAAAAAAATAAAATTAAAATATTCACGTCAAAATGTAGCATTTTTTAAAGTCAGACTTAACTACAGAGAGTTTTGATAAAATACGAAAGCCAGGCACATCCGTTTCCACGGTTTTCAGATGAAAATGAAATGTCATAAATGCATATATAATGTCAGTTTGCTATTTAGCTGACAATGCTGTCTTGACTCGGTCCTGAGAGATAAGTTAATGAAACAGTATTAACAGGTGGATTTGTGACCATGCTAAATAGAAGCCCGTAAGCTAAGTACCACACCTGACTTTGATCACTGTTCCAGCCCCGAAACAGCACTGCCCCCTCTGGATTGTGAACAAGGCACTCTTTTGAAAGGACGACACCGAAACGTATCTTGTTCCTTACAGGGAACCTTTGAACCGATGCTTTATTATAGCAAAACACGACCTTTACGAAAATAAAATCAGTACATGTTGATAGAATACATTGCTAAATTGTTTGAAGAGTACTTCTCTGTCTTATAATTAGTAAAGGTTATATAGCAATTGATTAATCGGCTTGTGCAGAAGGGTCTGAGCTCCTCGGTACCATATTAAAATCAAAGGTTAAGAAAAACCTCCATATAGATCAGAAGACTCTTTACCAGTTACGTTCTGCATGATATATACTATAATTACACAGTATGACTAAACTTAAACGGGCGTTTGACCTGTGACGGCTACATGTTGGCATAACGAGTGGCCATAGCTCTCTATAATTGCCAGGTTATGTCCCTATGGGCTACCCTTGTTAACCAAAAATAAGTGAAATTGTGTTATCTTATATAACTACTAGGTGACCACACACATACATACCATATAAGTGGCTGTATCTTCAGGAAGGGAAGGATGTGATTTTAAAAAAAGGTTGATGGAGTTGCAGACAAGCATTTTTATCAGTACTCGAATACTGTTTACAAATATTTAATTTTTATTAAATGAAAAAAAAACAGAAGAAAAGAAAGTGATTTGTGAGAGATTTGTGTGAAACGTCATTCTAAAAGAGGAGTAAATTCTCAAAACACTGCTGTGGAAATAAAAATAATTTTCAGTGATAACTTTCCGTTAAATTTAGTTTTTTTCTTCATATTCAAATGATGTTTCCACTTGGTCGAATATTAAATATTTTCAATCTAAATGTTCGATGTAAAATATTTCAATAAAAACCTAATTTAAATATTTTGTGGTATCACTTAATTTACTCGCGTCTCAAAACGAAACCTTATAATTTTTTTTCTCTCTGCAACAAAACTTAGCAAGTGTAGCAAGGTAAATTCGGTCGTCCACATTGAACAAATAATGTACACAATTATTTAATATTAAAGATTCACAACTATTTAATGAAACCAAAAATTATCTGTGTTTGTCCTCAAACAGTCAGAAAGGTTAATGAAACATTTATAAAGATATCAAATAGATGCAAAAGTGAATAATGTATTGGAAATAGACCACAGAAAAATGATGCAATGGTTTTCCAGATTCGTTAAACCGGAAGCTATAAATGGTCCCTTAAGTTGGATGGTAATTTCTATAAATATTTACCTAATTATCATTTGGTTACTAGTCCATTACGGGTGAAAAGAATCGGATCTAAGTAACAGCAATTGTCTGACACATTAACTGTGAAAATAGAGGACGGCCCAATAGTTTCTGATGTATTTCAATATGTACATATTTACATCTGTCTATGATCACTTATAACCCTTTGCTGAAAACAAAAAAGGTGTATAATTCACTGATACGCATTCGATTAACAAATAAATCAGTAATTCCCAGCTATTCTGGTATTTGAAATCTACATCAATAGAGACACGTTTCCTTAGTCTAGCTCCGTTATAGAAAAGGGGGCACTTTATTGGCTCTTCTGCCATGCATGTGTGAGCTTTATTTAGTTGTGAAAGCCTAAGTATTGGTCGCAAAGTAAACACTTGCAAAGCTTCCTAAATTGAACTAGATGTGCTACGTTTTTGCTGTATAGTGTGGCTTAATATAAAAATTGTTCAAATACAAATATGTTTCTGGTTAATTTAGTAGCTAACTACCGATATGGGCATAATTTAGACTTAATTACATTATATTATATTCTTAGTTCGTGTAAATAATTAAACCTTACAGTAAGATGTGTTCAAAACATTACAATAGTTCTGAGATATTTCCTTAACGGACTATTCCCGTTATAAGCAATAGCCCGAAATCACAAAAAAGGCAGAGAAATAAAAGAAAGACCAATCTTTATTGCTGAAAGAACATCTAATCAGTCAAAAACAATTGCAATGCTTTATTCAATAGGTTCATTTTACAGAAAAATTACTGTCACTCGCAAATATTTCTATT